AAAAATAAGCCTTCAATTTCTTAGCCCCCTAAAATTCCTTCTTTACTAAGTTCTAGCTATTATAAAGATACGAGAATAGTAAATCTTATAGATAGTATAGTTCTAGATAAAGATAGTATATCTGAATATCCTCTTATTTATTATTACTAAAGGAAACTAGTATTTTAGTAGCGAAAATTAGTAGTTAGTATTAAGCTTTAAAATAATATTACTTATTAATTCTATATTTTCTCTCTAGCTTTATTAACTTTTCCTTATAAAATCCCGGATATAGCTATTATATATATAAATAAATGTCTTATAATTCTTTTTCTCTTTTTATTCTTCTCTAATTTTCTTTAACTAGTAATATAATATTTCCTTCTCTTTTCTAATTTCTGCTTTATTTAGCTTTCTTTCTTATAGTAATCTCTTATAAGATACTTTCTTTCTCTAGAAAATCGAACTCTTCTTTATATATATTAGATAATAGATATAAAACTATAATATTTGCAAAATTATTAAAACTATTAACTTTTTCTAAGTAAAGAGTATTTTATTACCTTTTTTCTAATATCTAATATTTCTTCCCTAATATTTAAGAATAGGCTATCAAGTATTATTTCTTTATTCCCTAGTTATTTATATATTTCTAATTCTTCTTTCTTTTTTCCTTAAAGAATTACCTATCTTTTTTATAGTAAGTTAAAAAAATATACTTCTAGCTTCTCTCTTTTATCTAATATTTATCTAATTTTCTTCTTTACTTTTTTCTAGAATAGCCTGTTCCCTTTCCTATATAACTCTTCTATATTATTTCCTGCTTCTTACTATATCTATTCCATTCTCTAACCCTTCTAAATTACTTCTTTTATAATATAATTCCTATATTCTCTTACTTTATTCTTCTTCCTATAATAACTTCTTTTTCTAATTACTTTTATTTATATCCGGCCTCTATATCTATTAACTATTCTTACTATTTCCTTACTATTTAAGCTCTTTTTCTTAATACCCTATTTACTATAGCTAACCCTAATAATACTCTCTCTATTATTTCACTAGCTTATAAGCTGCCTATAAAAGTAAATAATAGTATTATAATACTAAATAAATAAGTAGTATATCTCTTCTTATTTCTATATAATTTCTCTCTTATAATTTTCCTTTTCTAATAAATCTTGTCTTATATATTTATAGATCTTATTCTAGCCTCTAATACTTATTTTAAAGCTAACTATATTCTTTATAACTATAATAATAAGTATTTCTTTATAGATAGTAATTATAACTTATCTAATACTTAAGAACTTAGTATAATAGTTATATAGGGCTTTGGAATTAATTAACTTAATAATAAAGCCTATATAAAATACTAAGATATTATTAAGTTCTAATACTTTAAAGTTTACTACTAATGCCTTTTCTATACTAGTATTTACTCTAACTATTTCCGAATATATTATAAAAATAAATATTCTTTCTATATAACTTTCCTTTCCTAAATCCTACTCAAATTCAAGTTCTAATAGTAATAGATTCTAATTTCTAATTCTTATATACTAGTATCTAGTAAAAGCAACTCTTTTCTTTACTAAGTTCCGGCTATTATAAAGGTATAAGAGCTTCAAATATAGCTAATAGAATAGAGCTAAGTAAGAATATTACTTCTAACTACCTCCCGCTTTATTATTCTTAAGAATTTAGAATTATAGGTTAAGAAACTTATAATATCTTCTAATAATTAAATATATTAATCTTTTATTTATTAGTGCCCTTTATTAATTTTCTTCTATAAAATCCCATTTATAGCTATTATATATATAAATAAATACTTATATATTAATTCTAAATTCCTCTTTTTCCTTATTCTTTCTTAATTTTAGTTAACTAGTAATATAATATCTCTCTCTCTTTTCTAATTTTTTTATTATCCTTAAAACTTCCTAATTATAATAAAATATAAGAAATATTCTTCTATATAAAAGAAATACTTAATTTATATATAACCGCTCTTCTTAATAGCGCCTCTCTCTTGCTTTTCTTTATTCTTCTCTTTAAGGTCTAATAACTATTATAAAACTGGCTCTAGCCAAAATATAAGTTTAATTCCCTTCTCTTATAATCTCTTCCTCTCTTCTCTATTACTCTTACCAAATTATAATCTAGTTCTCCCGGTCCAAATTAATATTCTTCTTTTCTAAAATACTAATCTCTTTATCCGGAAATAGTATTTCCTTATAAGTACCAGATTTCCTTTAAACTAGGCTATAGATCCGCTCTAATATTTCTTTATTCCGGTAATATAAATTATATAAGGTCTCTAGAATAGTACTATAAAAGACAAACTTCTTAAAATAGCTTATAACTATAGTTTCTATTCGGAAAATACTATTTAGTTCTATAATTATAAAAGTACTAATTACCTAACTAGCCCTAAAGATCCTAAATAGTTCTTTCTAGTAGTAATAAAGCTTTAATAAATAGTTGTTTTCTAGTCTAGTATTATAAAAAAGAATAATATCTCTAATAGAGAAATATCTAGATAGTTTTAAAATATAGGTATTATTAAATATTTTCTTTCTATATTTCTAATAGTAATATATTACTAAGAATACTTTATTTAGGTCTATATTTCTTTACTTAAGCTATTATATATATATAGCAAGTAAGTCAGATATAAAAGAAACTTTATATTATAGTAATATATTTCAAGTTAGATAGTTTAGATCTATTAGTAAAAGACTTTCTTGACTTTCTTTAAAATAAAAAAATATATAACCGGTAATAACTTTAGTTATTATTTAATTAGCCTAAAGTATAGCTAGAAAATAGAAAACCCAATTATTAATACTATCTTTAGTAGCTTTAGTTAGAGTAGTAATTATAGGCTTATATTCTCTCTTAATTATTCTATTAACTAGAGAGTTAAAAGCGAAAATAATAATATAATAGATTCCGTATATTATTATAAGCTTTTTTATAATAGTATTATTATTCTCTGGTTCTCTATCTATAATTAGCTCTAGAAAAACTCTATATCTATAAATAATGTCTTTGAAAATAAACCGGGTAATTAATTAAGTATTAGTATTCTTTAGTACTTTCTTTTTAATTTACTTTAAGCCTTTCTTTCTAGCTAGTACTAGCCTGTTTTTACTCGAATATAAAGGTATATAAACTATATCTAAAGCTACTTTATACTATAATACTTATACCTAAATAGAATATAGCTTACTTTCTATTCTTATATAAGCTATAAGCTAATATTACTTATAATTTTTAATATATATTTTAATATCTTTATATTATTTATTTTACTAAAAACAGTCTATAATTTTGCGGAAAGTAGCCTCTCTAGGCTTATAATCCCTAACCTTATAAGCTATTATCTTAATATCTTCTTGCTTTGCCAGGGAATTAATAATTCTTCTAAATATATCTTAATTTTGCCAGAAAAGTATCTTATCTTATATAAGGAACTTAATAGTATTATTTTTAAATAACTAATATTTCATAGTACTTTATTCTACTAGCTAGATAAATATAGTAAGCTAGCAAGTATATTATTAGTAATATATAAAATAAAAGTCTATTTTAGGTTATTTCTCTATAATAATAATTAAATAAGAGTAGATATTCTAAATAAGTAATACCGAGCTAGAGATATAGATAAATATAATTCTTAAAGAGAATAATTAGGTATCTATAAAGTCTTTAATATCCTCTTCTTCCTCTTTCTTCTCTATTTCTAGAATTATATATAATTAGTATAATAAACCATTTGCTATTATATACTTTCTTTCTAATATATACTTAATATTAAAGTTAAATAGCCGAATTCAAGTAATCTATTTTATAAGTAATAATTCGGGTAAGTTTAAAGCAGTACTATTAAGCTATATAACTAGAATATTTATATTAGTTTCTAAGAGAAACTTTACTTTATAGAGCTAGTTATAATATTTCTTAAGTGCCTTTAAAACTCCCTTATATTTACGCTTTATAGTATTATAAGACGCCTTAACTCGACTCTAATAACCGCTCTTATATTATATAGGGTAGTACTTTCTATTATACTAGCCGATCTATATTAAGACTATACCCTATCTAATAAGACTAGTATTTATTATAAGAATAATTAATTCGGTATCTAGTAAGAAGTCTAATATAACTAATATAAGGGAAGAGATTAAAAGAGTTTTAAGAGTATTTATTATAAGCTAGTATTTATATATTTAGACAAATATCTAATTTTTCCAGAAAAGTTTATAAATAGAAGCTATAATCTTAATAAAGTAAGTAATTCAGATTTAATAATAAATATAAATACTAATAAAAGTACAGGCTTATATAATATCTTAAAAAGCCGGCTATTTCAGAATTTTAATAATTTTTATAGTTTCTAGTAGTTTTCTTTTAAAAGAATAGATATAACTAATAATTTAGATACTATCTATATATTACTATAATTTTGGGCCAGATATAATTAATCTAGTATACTCTAGTAATATAAGAATCTAGTTCAAGTTCTAAATATACTCTCGTATAAATCTTCGAATATTAGATAAATCTTTAGTATTATTATAAGTAGTAATAGAATTCCGGACTTTAATATTATTAAGATAAGCTATATAAACTAATAGTATTAAATCTCGGAGAATATAGTATATAATTCGAATAAACTAAGTAACTGAGTTTATATTTCCTTAGAGAATTCTAGTATAGTAAAGAAGCCTATATAAAGTTATAAATCCTGTTATATTCCTATATTTCTTAGCTAAAAGAAGTTAATTATAACTTGAGAAGTAATTTACTAAACTTGTAATTATATAGCTAGTAAAGTATTTCGAGAACTTGTTTATACTTAGGAATAAGTTAGTATTTCTAATAGTAACCTTATTTACTTATAAAGCTACTTATACTATATAATATTTAGAGGCCTTCTTCTTTCTTATTAGAAAGTAAGAATTCCGGTAAAGCCCGTTATAGTATTTAAAGATCCCTATATCTAGTTATTTCTATATAAGCTTATTAATTACTAGGGCTAATACCCTTAGTACTAAAAAGCTAAGTTCCTGCCAAGCTTTATATAAAATAGTATAAATCTCTAATAGCAAAGATACTTCTGGTTTTAATAGCCTTAAATAGCTAAAATCCCAAGCTAGAGCTCTTTCTTTATTATCTAATATTATAAATAATAAATCTCTCTTCTTATATAATAATTCCGGGCTAATTTTTAAGGCCTTTTTTCTTTTCTTTATTAAATATAAACCTGAAATAATATAAGAAAACTTTAGAATTAATTACTAAGAAAAGCATCTAATTCCCGATATACTAATATTCTTTTTCTTTTCTAGTATCTTCTTTTAATTATCTAGCTCTCTAGAAGCCAAGCTAGTACTCTCGCTTAAGTTTACTAGCCAAATTTTCTTTATAACAGGTTTATATAGCCTATTAACTAATACTACTAGAGAAAAACTTTACTATTATATAAAAGAATAAGTATTAAATTATAAAGAAATATAATAGTCTATATTTATATATAAAGAAATATTATAAGAGGTACTTACTAAAGGTTTCGGATTAAATATATATATAATTTCCTCCCGAACTTCTAAAGAAAAAACAAAAATATCTCCTAAAAGCTCTTTTCTTCCGGTTCTAATATTTTCTTTAGAACTCTCTAGTTATTTAAAGAAAAGATATTCTCTCGAATCCGGTTCCGCAAATCGGACGCTTTTATAACTTAGCTTATAGAAAACCTATTCTTTCTAGTATTAAAAATAGTTATATAAATAGCTTCTAATTAGATATACTTAATAATAAGGTTAGTTTATAGGATAAAGAATTACCCGAGAATAAGTTAATAATTAGCTTCTTTAATAAGGAAGATCTAGATATATAATAATATGCCTCTAACTTTAACTTAAATATTCTTATAAAGTTCTTTAAAAAAGTAATATTTCTTATTATAAGAGACTAAAGTTAAATAAGGGTTTCCTATAATTATAAAACTATAGTTATTTATAAGGCCTTAAGTTATAATATTAATTTCGGTATTAGTATTAATTATAGCCTTAACTTAAATAGCTTTATTAAAATATATACTAAGCTTAAATATAGATATTATATAATATAAATTCTCTTTACTTTCCTTTAGATTATAGGAAGTAATAGTAATACTAGGGCCTGGTTCTAATAAGTTATATTAAAGGCTCTGAAAAACTAGCTTTAGAAGAGCTAGAGAGTTTAATAAGAGCTCTCGAATTATAATACCTTCTATTTTTTAATTAAGAATCTTATTTAATAGTAGCTCTGGCTTAGCCTCTTCCTAAAGTTTATCTACTAGATATTAGACTCTCGAGCGAGAATTAGATAAAAAGCGAGTAAGGGCTATAGGCAAAGCTATAGGCTTAATAGTAAAATCCCTTAGAAAGATTAAATATATAAAGATAGGCTATAGCTAGTCTAGTATAAGACTATCTTATTAAGTCTTTTTTTCCTTCTTATTTATAGCTATAACAGGTATTTATTTCCTATTTTTAAGATATTATATTATAGTAATACCGGTTTCTTTCTCTTAATAATTCTTTAATATCTGGTACTAATTATAACTATTTTTTAGTCCTCTATATAACTTATTATTCTTCTTTTTCTCTGCCCTAGAGGCACTAACTATAACCTATCTGTCTTTATTATTAGTCTAGATAAAATCTCTTATTTTATTATCGGAATTCATATATAGGTTATATTCTTCTATAGCTAAAAAGAGAGAAGAGATCTTAGTTTCCGGACCAGAATAGATATTCTAATTTATATACTAAAAGTATAGCTTAAGTTATTATACTTTATTAACTTCGGAAGCAAATTAGAATATTATATCTCCCGAATCTATAGGGCTAGTATAGATCTAATTTACTTAATTAAAATATATAATTTCTGCTATATAAAGGGCTAGTACTTCCAGATATTAGACGAACTAGTAAAGAGAAAAGAAATACAAGAAATAATATCCAGTACTAGCTCCGGCTAGTCTTAGTAATTCTTGCTAGGAAATAGGCAGATAAGACTAAGGAAATTAAGCTATATTTAGAGAGGCGAATTCGGCAGATACTATTTATATATTCGAGTTAGATATATTACTATTTAAAAAAGATCCCTAAATACTATTAAAAGATAATACTAATACTTATATAGCTTAAATAAATTTAGCTATATCTAATACCAGAACTTTAGTATCTATAGGCTATATACTAATAGATAACGAGTAATAGTCTAGCTTTATATAAATAAAAATAAGGTAAATAAGATCTATTTCTATAATTATTTAAGCTTAAAGGCTATTAATAAAAATATTATAAGAATAAAAATAGTCTTAATAATAAGTTATTTCCTTATTAACTTAATCTAACTTATAATACTTTATAGCTATTAAGGTAAAAGCCTTGAAATTTATTATATAAGAGATATTAAGTTCTATATTATACTTCCAAATAATCTTCTTATAAAGGGGCAAGGAAATTTCTTTAAGGAATTAAAATACTTAAATATAGTCTTTAAGTAATTAATTATTTACTAAATACTAAGAAGAGAAAATATATTATTAATAGAACTTCTATAGGTTAACTCTATTAGTATAGTTCTTCTTTTTTAAGGCCTTTATAAATTCTCGGGTTTTTATTATTTAGTAAGTGTCCTTCTCTTAATACTTCTAATATAAAACAATTCTAAGGGCCGCCTAATTATTTAAAACTCACTCCGGTATTATATAAATATATTATATAATAATTATATAGTAATACTAGAAAAGGCAGGAAACTATAGCTAAACTAATAATATAGTAGTTTTAGTACTAGCTTTTATATTAGTTCAGGAACTTAGTAATATTAGGTTCTTAAAAATAAAATATTCTAAAAATAATAGCGGATAGTATTACCTATATAAAATATATAATTTAAGTTTTATTAATAGAGAGGTTTACTAGTACTATAGGCAAGGCCGGATTACTATTACCCTAGAAGCGAGTAATAATATTTATTTTGGTATTAGGAACTAAACTAGAGGAATTAATTATAATAAAGTTCAGATTATAAGTAAGAACTCATATAATAAAGAAAGTAAGTAATAATAGTAATAAATATAGTTCTATAATTAGAAGTAAGGTAATCTCGGTAATTTAAGTAATTAAAGTTAATAATATTATAAAGAGGAATAATAAGTTCTAATTTTATAGTAATTACTTAATTTTCTAGAAAAATTATAATATATAAGTAACTACCTTAATTCTAAGAACCGGTTCTAAAGCCTTAGTAAAGGAGCTTTCCGTATGAAATATATAAGATATAGATTATCTGGCTATCTATATAAAGAGTTATTAAATACAAGGTTTTTTACTATAAATTCCCGAAGCTATAACCTTAATATATACTAACTCTATACTAATTCCTTTAAAATAAGCTATTAACTTTCTAGTAAAAAGGGCTAATATAGAGGAATCTCCGTATCTTCTAATAATTATATATATATTATAAATAAGTATAATAAGAAGATTAGTAATTAAAAGATATAATAAAGGAAATGGTTTTGCAAGCTACTTTATTTATAAGATTAGTATAAAGAGATATATCTCTATAATTATAAATAGATAGAATTAATAGCTAACTAGCTAGTATTCTAACTTTAGAAAACTTATATAAGTAAAACTAAAACGTATAAATATAACTAAAAGTAACTATATTCTCAGGATCTAGAAAATGCCTATATAATTTAAAGATACCGGCTATTATAATTTGAATCTTTTCTGAGTTACTAATATAATAGAAATTTAATTATTATATGAATTTCAAACTATATATAAATATTAAATATATAAATAGAAGTAAAAGGAATAAAAAGCTAAATAAATAGAAGTAGTAATCTTAAGACTCTTAATACTAGTATCGAAATAATACAAATAGTTAAAAATAAGGAACTCCGAAAATTAATATATTAGAAAGGCTAATTATATATATAAATAAAGGTCTTATATAATTCTTTAAACTAGTGCTAGTATATCTAGAAAGCAGAATATATAATAGTAGTTACGGAATAAGAGAGAAAAAACCCTACTATACTAGTATCTTTTCTAGAAGCTTTATATATTAGTAAATATTAAGGAAAATAATAAGTTTATAATTAAAACTATTATTAGTTCTATTATATTTTTATATTTTAGAATATATCTTTACTACTTCCCTAATAAGCTTTCTAGTAGAAATAGTAGATACTAATTAATAGTAATTCGGGTTCGGTAATAATACTAGTAGTAGTAAAAATAAAAGTAGTAAATAGCCTTAATTTAGAAGAAATAGATAGATAGCTTAATTTCTTAACTAAAATTATTTAGTTCTCTTATATCTAGTTCTATTTAGAATAAGATAAACTAATATAATAAGTCCCTAAAGAAGATCTATTCTAATTAGACTATTATTAATAATATTAGCTTTATTTTATATACTCTTTATCTTTTTTCGGGTAAGATTAATAAAGAATTACGCAATAATAAGGTTTTTGTAATTCTATTTAATATAAATACTATTATACTAAAGTTGGGTTTAAAGATTTTATATAAGTATATAATTAATTAGATTATATACTATATTATTAAAGTTTTTAAAGTTATTCTAGAATAGATTCTATAAATTATTATTACTCTTCTTATATAAGATATACTAATATATCTTAGTAATTATATATTTCTAAAGTTTAGCCTTTATTATAGTTACCGGATTAATACTATTCTCTTATTTCTTAATTAGTTCCTTTTCCTTATTAGTATTTATACTAAACCGAGTTCAGGTTTTCTCTAGTATATATATATAATTCGTGGCAAGAAAAATTTAAAGATAAGGTAATTTATAGTAGGTTTATAGAAAGGGTTTAGTAGTAGAGATATCCAGATACCTGGTTTAGATACCAGATATTCAGTTTAGATATCTAGTTAAGATACTAGATACCTGGTTATTAAGATACCAGATATCTAATTATTGAGATACTAGATACCTGGTTTAGATACCAGATATCCAGATGCCTAGTAAGATATTAAGGGTATTAAAGTAAATATTTTACCCTTAAATATTTCGTCTGTAACAAGAAATTCAAGAAGTGAAATATTACGATTCCGGGAGGGTCTAAAGCTTAAAGAACTCGAATTTTAATAGTAAAATCGAAGTAGTAGTTAAAGAGCTTTAAGGGTATATATAGAGTATATATTCCGGAGAAAGAGTCCTATAAATACAAGTATTATATAAGTAGAAAAGATAGTTTCTAAGAAAGTAGTTTTAGGGCTAAAAGAAATTAGTTTTAAAAAATAATAGAAATTAAATAGATAGATGATGTGATATGTATAGGGTCGCACGTGACTTAAGGGCATGTAACGAACCTCGGATGTTGCAGGTGTCGATTAGGGAGATTAAAGGTTCTTCGACTTCACAACTAACTACTATTTATATTATAAGTATTAGGCTTATAAATTACTAATTATATATATGTTATCGGGGCCTCCTATTTAGAGGGGGCTTCCCTGGACTTTATAAGAGGGACAGAGATTAGTTCTATACTGAATTTGATACTATAGTTTTATAACTAACTAATTTATTCTATTATCTTATTGCCTACTAATAAACACCTTACAGATAATTAAATAGCTAATTGCTTATTAATTAGTAAGAGCTAGATATCTTCTCTATAGGCTACCGAATACTTTTATAAAGTTAATAAGTAGTTCTTTCCTTTAATATAGAATAGACTAGATTTGTTTTAGGCTACTAAATGCTTTTAGAACTAATCTAAAATCTTTTCTAATCTATATATATAAACTAATTAGTATCGGTTTACTAGTAATATATAGTACTATTATATAGTTATAGAATACTATTTATATAAGGTTAGTAAAGTTATTATTATTTAGAAGTAGGAATTATAGTATTATAGTATTAATATATAATTCCTAAATCTACTAAGCCTAAAAGAATCTAGTCTACTAGTTAAGTTACTAATAGAATACAAGGTTATATAACTATATCCCGTATCTTATATTTTATTACCTATATTCTATTACCTATATCCTGTATTCTATATTGTTATAATAAGGTAATATTATAGTAGTAGTAAAGAGCTTGAATTGAGCTAAAGGCTATCTGCCGGGCTAAAAGCACTAGCTATACGCTAAGCCACATATAGTGGCACTATATAACTAGTGCCACGTAATATATATCCCGTAACTATATATATAACTCTCAAAGAAATAGCTATACTAATAATTATATATTTAATATATTAATTATATATTTAATATATTAATTATATATTTAATATATTAATTATATATTTAATATATTAATTATTTTATTTATATTTTATTTATTTATTATTTTATAATATATATATTAATTAGCTCTTTTTTATTATAATTTAATATAGTACTTTTAGCTATTTAATTATTTAATTCTTTAGCTAATTAATTACTCTAATCTTTTAGGCTAATTAATTGCCCTAATCTTTTAGGCTAATTAACTGCCCTAATTCTTCGGTAATTAACTGCCCTAATCTTTTCGGCCGATTAATTACTCTTAATCTTTTGGCTAATTAACTACCTTTCTTATTTTCTTAATTAATAATATTTCTTTACTATAATTTAGTAAAGAAGAGGATATAGTTATTACTCAGAATTCAAATCTTTATTAGGCCAGGTCCTTATATAGTAACCTTGGCTAAGGAGAGTTAGGGCTAACTAAACGTATATACTTATAGTAGATATTAAAGGTTAAAAACCAGATTCGAAAATTGCTTGGTCTTCTAATCCTTATAGCTTTCCGTACTTAAGGCTCACATTATAGCAGAATTATATATTATATAGCTAGCCTTCCTATATTCGTATTGCCTCTATATCCCTCTTTCCTCCTTTATCTGGAAACCTTGACTTTTAAATTATAATAAGACTTAATTATTTAAAGCAGATTTATACCGTTAAATTACGTAAGTTACTCGAAGTCTTCCACTCTCTCATACCTTAAGTCCCACGTATCATTCTTTAAAACCGTTACATTACTCCACACACTTACTGTCCCATCTCCGGAGGTATAAGTTTCCTGCAACTCCACCTTCACAACCCCTCTTTTCACTTCCCTCGCACCCTCATCAACCTTCACCATCGACTTTATTCGAACCTTCTCGTCTACATTCGCCTGCGCGAGGCGTACCCCAACTTCCACAGTCTTTTTATCGTCCATCGCCACATCTGCCTCATCGTTGCTACTCCGGGGCACAATCCGAACCTGCATTTCTCCACTTGTAATATTAAGTAGGGGGATAAACCGCTGGTTGGCCAACATGGAGACTCCTGGCCCCGTGTAGTCCTGGGTGAGCAGCGGCTCATCTAACAACCATTCATCCGCTTCGGAAGCGATTGGTATATAAATACAGAGTTCTCTTAGCCTATACGCGGAGGTCTTAATTCGACGAATGTTGAATATGAGATCGAAGAAGTACCGGTTCTGCGTCGGGATATAATCCTCCCGGTCGTACACATTGCTATTGGTATCAGAGCGCTGAGGAGGCGCCCTGCGGTAGTCCGGGTACACACTCAGTGTGAACTGTGGGTCTTCAGACTCGGATGAGGATGAGGATGACGACTCTGAAACGGCAGTTGACCTTGCCTCGGCTCGGATGGATGTGTCCAGAGTACGTAGTCTTGATATGGAGGGTATCTGCTGGACCAACTGGCTTAGTTCGAAAGATGTATATCGGATCGGATTGCTTGGTATCGTGAGCTGAACAGGAATGATAGGAGCAACGGGGGTTACAGGAATGTTCCGGGATGGCTTCTTCCCCTTGTTATATCCCGCAGGCCTTCGACTTATTAATGTAAACTGCTCTTTTGCTGATTCTACGTTGCTCAAAGGAGACGGTTTACCCGACCCGTCGTCTTTAATATAGAGTCTCCGGGGACTGGCTTTGGGAACGGCCTGGCCAGCCTGCGGCACGATCTGGAAGTAGTACGTCGGGTCGTTCAACTGGAGGGCCATTTCCGCTGAGTTAGGGACCTTGTCAGTATACGCCTCCTTCTTCGTATTGGGCTCTAGCTGGCAGAGTTTGTTGATCCCTTTTGCCATGGCTTCTGTGCATATGCACCGCGTGCGCCAGTTAAACCAATTTTCACTTTTGGAGATTCACCGTGTCCTTGGCGGGTGCTTCTGCGAGAGGGTCGTACGACGGCAGCAGCCGGGCAAGGGCGGAGGGAAAGGAGCTTCTAAACAAGAGGGCGCCCGCAAAGGTCGAGGTCGAGGAGTCGTAGCAGAGCGCAAGGACCACGGGCTTGTTGGCATCCGTCGTCCAGCGAGCGAGGAATCGGATCGTCCACGACAGCTTTCCCTTCCCCGCGCTTCTAACGGTGATGCTCCACAGGTCGACGGCGGGGAAGAGGTGGGATGGCAGCTCCGCGGCGGAGACATCGGGCGCCGCGGTGCTGCCCCCGAGGCTGGAGAGTCGCGTCCAGAGATCCCCCGTCGACCCGGAGTTCTCGCTGAGGCTGCACTCGAGCCCCACCGGCGTGAAGCGCAGCCAGAAGACGAAGTTGGTCGTGGTCAGCCGCACGGTGAGCACAAAGGAGCTCGTCGTGGTAAACGTCGTGTTGCTCGTGCTGGCCGGCGTGGCGATACCGAGGATCTGGTTCCATCGCTTTTCGGCTTCGGAGAGGCTGCGGATGGGGATGCCGCCGGTGGAGCGCTGGAAACAAAAGGTCGGCCCAGTGGCCAGCGTGCTGAGGTTGAAGCCAAACTCGCTCTTCAGCTCGCCCGCGATCTTTTGCCGGATTTCGGATGTGTCGGTGCTCAGCTTGAACGTGAGCGCGGTGACGATGCGAAACGTGGCGCCGGGTACACACCACAGCGCGTTGCGCTTCTCGGCCGTGTCAAGGACGACAGTAGTACCCGCGGTAGCTCCAGCGACAACCTTAGTCAGCAGGCCGGCCGGGACGATTCCGAAGCGCTGCAGCGCCTGCGCGAGCGTGACCTGGGGCTTGTCGGCGCCAAAGACAGCTGGGGTGGCCCCAATGTCAGCGTCGAGCCCCATCAGCACCACCCCGCTCCCCGTGGGGTCCACATTCGCATCCGCTGTGTTGAATCGGGCGCTGTTTCTCTTGCTGCTGAAGCCCAGGCCCCAGAATCGCGTGCTCGTGGCCGAGACGACGTCAGAGCTCACGGCTGCCGTCGTTTGGACCTGCGCATGCTGGAGAAAGTCCACCCATCAGCACGCAGCGAGCAGCGGAACGGCCCGGCGCCGGGCGGGGATGTCGGAAGGGCGGCTCGCTTCCGGAGGCAGAAGCTCATCCTCATCCCCGTCCTCGTGACCATCGTCAGAAGTATTCGCACTGTCGACGTCGCTCATAATGTGTGCGCTGGTGATATACTCGTTTTGTCGGGGAGGGGGAAAGATGGCGTACTTGCTGCTCTTCTGCTCGAGAGAAAAGTTGTGAGGTGAAGGTTAGGTTAGGTTAGTAGAAACAGCTGCAGCTGGCTGGCAACAGGAGCACGATCGACTGCCTAGTGAATGGCGTGACGACACGCCTGTCCGCAGCGTGCGGCGTGCGGCGTGCGGTGCGCGGGGTACAGTACCTTTAAAGGGTGGGTACGACAACGACTTTATCCGGGACAGGGTTGAGCCTTCCAATGGGCCTGTTCTCCCTACTTTTTCTCTACTAACCTTCGCAGCATCAAACTCCTCAGCACCGGTATGGCCAAACAAGACAGCGAAAAGAACCCTCCTTGCCTCCATCAGACTTCACCCTTCCTCGATTCGAACCAAACGACGGCGGGAAAATGCTCTATCTGCCGTGCCTCCGGTGTTCGAAAGTACGCGATGGAGCTGCGCTGGTTTGGACGTACGTTCAACCAGAAAGTGGAAGAAGAACAGAAGGGAAAAGAAAAACAGGAGGTAAAAAATGTAGCTTTATTCAAAGAAGTGTTCAAGGACAGTAAGTCGCCACCGCCTGGGGGAAAAGTCCCATCAATTTAGGGAACTTGGTTAAACAGGCTCATAAAAGGAGCCAGCATCCTCAAGACATCACTAACTTCTATCGCCTGCAATGTTAGACCTTCCGGGAAATGATCCTGCTCAGCTCAAAATGGGGTCGAATTATCTTGAACGCATTGTTGGAAATGATAAGAGCCTACAGGAAAAGCTTAAACAGCTCAGTCTAACGCCAGACTTTGCCAGCTGCGTTAAAGATTTCAAACCTTACGCCAGACAGATTGATGAGAAAGGGCGATGGAGAATCGCTTTTGCTATTGAGAAAGATCAGAATGGAGAGACCTATCACGCTTTGATTGCCGCGGTAAGACTAGGTTCGCTATATCTTTACCCGCAACTGACTAGATGGCCAGTTCGTGACCAACACCTGGATCGAAAGCGAAGATGGGAAGGGCAAAAGAGATCCAAACAACAAAGAAAATCTCCCTTACATCGTGGCCCCCTACTACAAGCCAGCAAAATCTTCGCAGGTGCTATTACTCGGGACCTACTTACGGGATATGCAATTTAGATACGAAGTTGGTAAATGTCTCGAATACTACACGACAAAGGATGTCAAGTTAGACAAGCAAACCACGAAACCACCCGCAACCCTCGCTATCGCCGACTTCTTCCATGCCCATCCAGAACACGACAAGCAACAGGCGATCCATTCGGCGATTGTCAATGTTCTAAACGACAAGGGCTTAGAAAAGGTGCTGGTGGACAACAAGAACGAAGACATTATCAAGCCACACCAAATTTCCCCCAGCTCCCTTGCATTGTACTATATCCGCCGAGTTCTCGCCGTGAGCGGAACGGACCTTCCTAGAAAGGAAGATGTGGGTCGTTTTATCGTCATCATAGTAGTAGGTAACGACTTCACCCCGCCCGAATCTTCGATGGTTCTTTGTCGCTACATTCTCCTAATGATTTAAGTCCCGCCCTTTTGGTGACTATGCTGAATTCGGCTCCAGAGACGAAAATCACCCGGCACAGCTGGTGATCACCGGTTTATGGATGTTGATAACCTTGAGGCGACGATCGATGCCCTCGTCCAGGTTAATAAAGTGGCGGCGCAGCTAAATGCGAAGCAGATCACTCACGTGTTGCTCTGTAAGTCACTTTAAGACGCAATTCTCACTCTCTTCGTTAGCCTACGTGCTTCACTAAAACACCAGATAGACGACGCCCTCGGCGTCGATGAGGCTGCTACACTTCAGACAAAAGTAAGCTTTAAGATCCTCTATATCGGCTCACCCTTCTTCGGGGGAGTTGCCCATGACCATATCAAGGAACTCTGGGACCACTTCAAGCGCCCGAATGAATACACGCCCACAGAGGTGAAAGCCCTCGGCATCTTCATCGCACTACGAGAGCTCTACGGCAACTCAGTTGCGTGCATCGGGTTTCGCAGCGGCAGTCTCGACGGGTCTGGCTTTCTCGGGATCCCGATCTTCTCCCTTGATAACAAGATCACCAATGACTATTGGTATGAGCTTTATAAAGCGAGAGATCTCACCAAAGAGGAAGAAATCCTCCCCAAAGGAGCCGACTACAAGGAGCTTTCCGAGGACAAGAAAAAGGAGCTTAACAATTTGAGGGAGCAGGCAAAAGAGGATAAATATAAGGATGCAAACGCTATATGGGTCAGAGAGATCGGGGATGGGAACTACCTCTGGGACCTCGAGAAATATGGTCGGGGGAATCCCCGGAAATACGAACGCATCGAGGGACTTGCTGTGCGCGTCAACACGTTCATCACTATCAACCTCCCTCTATATTTTGGGGCTGATCCCGGGCTCACTTTAAGGTTAGTGGAGGATGCAAAACGCCATTTGATTGCTGCGATAGTAGTCTATCTATGTCATGAGGACGCTCAGCAGCCGTTATGGACAAGGAGAATAGAGTGGATGAAGAGCGAGAAGAAGGCATTTTTGCATGTGTGTTTTGATAAAGCGTTCGAGTTTATCAAATCGAAATAGATAATTTAAACTTTCGCAAGTACTGGAACATCGAGCTTTAATCGTTTTCATGCCTCCAGCCACGAACCCAAGCCCTAACAGAGTAGATTTACTCTCAAGCCCAACCTAGTAACCCCTCGGTATCTATTAACGCCACCCTCACGCCTCTCATCTTCTCAAAACAATTGGGAGTTGGAAGATGTGATTTCATCCAACCAGGAAAGAACTCGCAGCTGGGTTGGAAGCCCGTCATCTTCCTCGCAATATCCAATATCGTCTGGTCCAAGGTGGCAGAGCAGCCAAACCAAGGGACATCTGCTAATCTTCGACGGAGGAGAGAGAGTTGTGCATATATACCACTCCCCTATAGGGCTACTAAATGGAGTTCATCGATAGCAATGATAGAAACGCGTCTCTTGAAGGACGGGTTCCTTGCTATTGACCGAAACCAACCAGCCGCGATCTCGGGACCCATGATGAGATGAGTATACGCCCCCATCTCAATCTCTTGGGCCAATGCATCAGTCTTGTCCGTCCCGCCATTGATAAACACGGACCTCGCGCCAGGAAGCCTTTGGATCTTGATGCACTGCTCCTGTCCAATTCGATCCAAAGGGATGATGATGAGGCCGATGCCACCGCGACAAAACAACGGCGCTGTTTGAAATATGATACTCTTGCCGAAAGATATCTTGGCTGCAAGGAGCAGATCTTCTTTCTTGAATACCAAATGCCATATAGCATCTACCCGCTTTTGACGAGGCTTGAACGGATAGAGATGGCGCTGCAGGCCTGCCTGAATGATCCCCTTCTGCACTTCCCCAGACGCGTATCTTGCCTTCTCGACCAGACCCTGTATAGCCAGCATACTTGTGGTGTTTTCGGCATCATGAACAAGATCTCTTGTATCGTTTGTGGTCTCTCGTTGCCGTCTTCGAAAACTCGCCTTGCTTCGCATGGAAATTACGAACGCAGCATGTGTCAATAATACGGTAGACACGTAAATCCCGACCGAGGAAAGCGTTATACGGTATCCGATAGCATTCTACTGATCTTTGATGGTGTTTCTCTAGACTCTTCTGGCCTTGAGGGCAGGAACGGTGGTTCGATGACGATTTTGACGCGGTCTGATTTACCACAAATTAGCGTTTTTCACAAGACACAAGTATGCAAGTTTAAAAAAATCTTAATATCTAGATAGAGTATACCTTGATGCACAGTTGATTGAAATTAAGGATAAATCTAACGTGCTTTGGTGGAGTTATTAATGGATATACAAAATTGTGATTTTGCCAGAATCGTGAAAAACATATACAAAATAACTGCAGAGCAGTGTGCGCGTTTGACAGGGATCTCAGGCCATATACAAGAGAAGGTAATATGATCTCGGAGCGGAAGTACATTTGCTTTGTTCCTGCCGTCACATTTACTTTCAGGCTTTAAAAAATAATTACTAATCTAAATTTTATAAAAAGCTTTTATTTAAATAGTCCTTAATTAGCGCTATAAGAACATAAAACAAGTATTAAATTAATGAAAAGGCCAGAGTTTTGGTATCCGAGCGTATAACGGCAGGAATAAAGTAATGGAACGAGGCTCAAAGATCTATAATTCCAATATCCTACAGAATCTAAAGCTAATGAGAAAAGGAGTGAGGTGTGGCTTTGACGGCGGGATCGAGGCAATGGCCAGGGCTCAAAGATCCAAGAATCTCATGTATTGAAAATACTAAGCTAAAGAGAAGAAGGAGAGAGAGAGAGAAGGAGGGGATAAAGGGAGGGAAATGCTAGCTAAAACCACTGAAACGCCGGCTAGCTAGGTGAAACTAGTCATGTGACAGCCACCCCCCTTTGGCCCCAGCCAGCGCCGTCACAGTGGCAGTAGATAAGTAGGTACGGTCAAGACCACTGAAACGCCGAGCTTTGGAACCCGGGCTCGGTTTGAACCATAGCTTGGAACCTTAGCTGAAACCAACCCCTTTGGCTGAAACCAACCATGTGACACCAGCCGTCACAGAGCGCCTCTGCTTTGGGTTAGTGGCTAGTCTGCTCCTAATCGACACCCCTAATCGACGCCCGGGGGGTCGTTTTAGTTTTTCCCGGTCAAGACAGGAGGGCGGTCGTAACTCCACCCCGACGCCCGACCGACGCTGCCCAGCCTGATCACAGCTCAGACGCAGCCTTATTAGGATGATCCTTCTTCTTGCATTGCTCCATGTCCAGCCTCAAGGAACTTCTTCCGACTCATTAATCTAGACGTCGCATAGGGCTTGTCTGCTTCGATACTGTACGTCGGACAGCACTCAGGCCGTATAGCATACGGAATCCAACCCTCTACCATGTCAGTCGAAACGTTAAACCATCCGACGAGCAAATCGCTCAAGGGGCCAGAAAGTAGCTCGAGTAATATCTTCCGGGCAGAGTTTGCCACAACCAACTCCGGCAGTCAAGTTATCTATAATCATGGATCGATTTCCAACTACTTCTACTATAATTCTGATACTCCTCATATGTCGGCCGAAGCATTAAACTCTCTGACGAGCAAATTGCCAAAGGGGCCGGAGAGTAGCTCGAGGAATATCCTCCGGGCAGAGTTTGCTACGATCAACTACGGTAGTCAAGTTACCTACAATTATGGATCGATTTCCAACTACTTTTGCCACGATTCTGATGCCACTCATATATCGGCCGAAGCATCAAACCCTCTAACGAGCAAATTGCCAAAGGGACCCGAGAGTAGCTCGAGTAATATTCCCCTGGCAGAGTTTGCTACGACCAACTACGGTAGTCAAGTTGCCTATGATTATGGATCAATTTCCAACTACTTTTGCCACGGTTCTGATGCCACTCATATATCGGCCAAAGCATCAAACCCTCTAACGAGCAAATTGCCAAAGGAACCGGAGAGTAGCTCGAGTAATATCCTCCGGGCAGAGTTTGCTACGATCAACTACGGTAGTCAAGTTACCTACAATTATGGATCGATTTCCAACTACTTTTGCCACGATCCTGATGCCACTCATTAATGCTCCTTCCCGAAGGTCTTATTGCCGAAAGATTCGCCTGAGAGTCAGCTCTACAACAAGATAGAGAGGGCGCGTGTATTGTATAAATCGAGACGCTGGACAGACGCGAATGCCTTATTTTATGAAGTCATGTATACGTCTTATCCCACTCCTGCAGCGACGGAACGACTCCTTATCCAGTACAACCTGGCTCATGCACACTTCGCCCTGGCGGAGTTTTCCGAAGCAGTCCATCACTTTCAAGAGTTAGTCGATATCCGCGAAGAACGAAATAAGACGCCCAAGGAAAGCATCAGCGACAGCCGTTACTGGCTCGCACGCAGCTTCTATCATCTGAAGAGATATGAAGACGCTTCCACAGAACTCCAAGTCTTTGTCCTGACACACGACCAGCAAGATTCACATAGCGCGGAGCAGGCGACAACCGGCCGACTCTGGCTCGGCTTGACTTTCGAAAGACCAGAACAATATGAAGAAGCAAAATAGCAATTGAAAATCGCATTTGAGACACGATCTCAAACACTTGGATCTGAACATTTGGACACACTCGCATGTCAACACCACTTGGCCAATTTCCTATATAAGCGTAAAGCATTCCTCAAAGCTCAGGAACAATTTGATGCTTTGTTACATGCAGAGAATCGCCCCAGCGGTGCTGAGAAGTCAGAAGCTGTGAAGACTCGGTGCATGCTTGCTTTCTGCCTAGCAAAACTTGAACGCTACGATGACGCTGAGCCACATTTGGAGCGAGTCCGAGGAGGTGAGAGACACAGGACTCATCTGCTACTGGCTAGGTTGTATTGCCTTGCGTAAGGACCGAAGACATTCAGTCAAAGCTGGGCGCCCATTTCAACGCGCCCTGAACTGTATCCCCAACGCCACGGCCAACAACAAAAACGACAATAATGACCTACAGGATGGGCTAATTGACTGCCGCCGGTGTCTAGCGTTCACCATGTATCACCAGGGACAGTTCGCCGGGGCTGAGCAAACATTTCGTCACGTTATAGATGACATGGACGAGACCAAACAAGACGATTTGATAGCGAGCCGCTACGGGCTGGCATCAAGCCTCATAGCGCAGAGAAAATTCACAGAGGCCAAGTCGACTCTCGAAGAGGTCCCCACCATCATGAGTCCAATAAAAAATTGTCGTCACACGGGAGAGGATCTAGCTGCTTGTGTGCATAGGCTTGGCGTGGCTTGCTGGGAGCTTAATCAGTACCGTGAAGCTCGAGACTGTTTCCAACGAGTTGTCGACATCGTACCCGAAACGCCCAACCAGAACCACAGCGCTAGTCAACAATGTTTGGCAATGGCTTTGTTCGAATTGCAAGAGTTCGAAAGTGCTCGCAAGCACTTCCAAGAACGTTACGACCCTGTGACCAAACATTTCCCCTCGAGACGTCAGTTCGCCACCGTCACCCGGTTTTGGCTCGTGTGGTCTCTGTGCGAGCTTGGACATTTTAATGAAGCCAAACCACATTTACAGCATACTTTTACCATGTTTCCCGAACCGGAGAAAGGTCCTATACCTGAGTCGGAATTCGTTTTGGGTCGTAGTCACTACTCTATGGGGAGAATTGTGTTGTGTCAAAAGGATAGGAAGGATCCGAAGGAGGCAGCAAAACACTTCCGAATTGCACTACCGATGCTCAACAGGCGATTCGGATCAGATGATCAGACGATCCAACGCATCTTCAATGTCGATATCATCTGGCATATTCTCTTTTCGAATTAGATGAAAATAGTGAAGCCCGGCAAATTTTCGAAGAATTGTTGAATAACGAGTCCCAACACAATATCGTACAGGATCCTAGCCCATGCCCACCAACTTGATCTTAACGCGGGCAGCGAATTATATCTACTTAGCCATTGGCTCCTTAGCTGCTGCCTCTACTTCGCTGAGAAGTATGATGAGGCCTGCGAGCATCTGAAACCTACCGTCACTGCCTATGAGGCCACATATGGATATGACAATTTGCAGACGTCGCTCGCCCGAGCTTACCTAGTCGACAGTCTTTGCGAGCGGAAACGCTACATCGAGGCGGACCCTGTTCTGATCAACGTGGCAACGCAGCAAGGTGCATCTCCTGGTACAAAGGAGGAGCTGGTCAAAGCTATCGGAACCTATTGGCTTGGTCGTCACACATACGATCGCGCAAAATGGAAGGAGACAGAAGACTGTTTCGATACTGCGTGGACACTGTTGGCTGCATCGTCAAGAGACAAAACCTGGAACCGTTTACGGTTTGGCTGTCGACATTGCCTCGCGCGGATTAAACTAAGTTATTATAGCTACTTTATTTAAATTTTACTAGAGTCTTCCCAAAAATCTTTCTCTTATATATTAAGCTTATTAAAGCTCTTATTACTCTTATAATTATATAAATTATAATTAATATATATAAGACTTTAAATAACTTTAAAAAGTTAAGAATTATAAAAGTTATATTTAGATATCTCAAGAATTTAGAAAATAGCCTTAAATTTCTAAGCAAGAAAATAATATTAAAGAAAGAACTTCAAAATTTTATAGATAAAAAAATTCTGATTAAAAGAATTCTAATTAATCTAAATTAAAGAGAATACTTAGAAAAGTATATAAACTATTTGCAAGCTTATAAATATCTTATACTATAAGTAAATTATTAATAATCTAAGTAATTTCTATAGTAGAATATAATTAAAATAGTTAATCTATATAGTATTTTATTATATTCTATAATAGAAATGTAATAAGGTAGGAAAATTAATAAAATGCACGTGATATGCCCCCTAGTAACTACTAGCCTACTAGTATACTTCCTTTATATTTCCGTTTCTTTATTATTATCTTTAATTCCTTAATCTTTTATTATTAATCTCTTTATAATACCTTATTTAAGAATTAATATTAACTATTACTAAGCCTATATCCTTTATTTAATTAGGCAATAATTATTATATAACGAAATTATATAGAGGTTAAAGTATAACTTTAATATTAATATTTTCCCTAGAACTTTATATAATAGGCTTTCTAATTAGAAAGCCTCTTTCTAGTATTTGATATTTGAGCCTTCTCCTCAAGTAAAGGCTCTTATTACCTGGTTCTTTTATAAATATTCATATAACTAATACTAATATACTTACTAACCTCCGGAGCTTAGAATATAATATTTCTAATTTATAACTATTATAATATACTTACCGAGCTATAGGCCTTTAATATCGAATACTTAATTTGCAAGTTAAGCTAGAAAAGAAGTAATTATACTATATTTTCAAATAATATATAGTTAATAAAAGCTTATAAGGCAATACTAGAAATTATAACTACCGGCTTTTATATACTTATCTTAATTCCCTAGATAATAATAAGTAGTTTTCTAGAAATAGAATAGCTTCTATAATATAGAAACTTAATTCTGAAAGTATATAATATTAATAGGAAGAGATAAAAGCAGCTAGAGGAGAATATAATATTTATAGGCCAAACTTTATTTAATTTATTAATAGCTATTATAAGGTAAATATAATAGGAACTTAATTTCAAAAATTATTATTTAAATAACTACTAATCCGTTTGCTTAGCTATAATTTATATTAGAATCTCAAATAGTTATATTATAAGTAGTAATACTTCTTAATTTAATATAAATATATTCCCTCAAAAATAGCTAATATTTACTTAGTTATAATTCCGGCTATATAATTCTGTAATATTATAGAGAACTAGTTATTTGAATTATACTTAATTTAGCTAATAAAACTTCTGAATCTCTATACTATATTTTTCTTTAGCCTAATTAATATTATACTAAGATATACTTACTTATATTACTTTCTAGATTATTATTCTAGTTTAATATCTTAATTTAGTAAATAAAATAGAAATTATTTCACTTTATATTTAATTAGATAGAGGATATGAAATACCTATAGTTACTAATATCTATTATATTCTTTATAAAGTAATATACTAAATAAGGGATATTAATTTATATTAGTTCTTAGATCTTTATTAGTTTGGAACTAGTATAGCTAATTAATGAATTGAGGTATAATAGAGGCAAGTTATAAAAGTAATTTATTTAATCTAATTCTATAAAGACTTATTTAATTAGCTAATATTATATAAGATATACTAAATAAATAAAAGATATTTTTCAAGTAATTATATTCTTAAAAGCTTTACTTTTGCAAACTTCTCTCTAATTATATAGCTATACTTTTTATCTATTTGCCTATTATATAAGAGTAAACTAAGGAGTTTATCCGGGTTTAAAATATTTATTTAATTAGGAAATAGTATGGGAGGGAAACTATAATAAGACAAAAACCCATATAAAGTATATTAGAGCGCAAAACATAACTTAATAGCAAAATAACAAATTAAAAGCGTAAATAGTAAAGTATAAATAGTATATAGTATATAAAAGCTCAATTAATTAAATACTTATAAAGGATTATTCTCTAAGTCTATAGAAAAACCAGCTTTCTTATATAATTTCCGTAAGTTATATATAAAAGGCCGCGGCTTTTACTATATAATCTAAACCTTAAAACTACTAAAATAATATAATTTTTAATGAGTATAGCCTGCCGTACTATATCCGATCCCCTATTTATTCGTACTTATCCTCTAAGTACCAAAAATAATAGAAAAATCCTACTTAAAGTCCGAAATAATAAAATATTCCGGATCCTCCTCTATTAGTTAATCTAATTTCTCCTCTATATACCTAAAATAAGACTTATTACCCTTAAATAGTCTTATTTCATACTTCCGAACTTGCTTAAAGGTAATCCGAACCCGCTTAGCTATATTTTTATACCAAATCCGATATAGTTCTCTATATTAATTAGTATCCGCCTTTAACTATTACTCAATTTCCGCCTTTACTACTAGGTATTAAGAAGGCTTATTATAGTAAATCATATTATAAATTGCACTAATATACTTTAAACGGATAGCTCTTTCGAATTTTATATTATCTATAGTATTCTTAAATTAATCTTTAATAGAAAGAAAAAGCTCTAGATAAAAGGCTTTAATAAACTTATAGGAGACTTCATTTTCGTATATTCTATCCTTAATAGTAACTAGACTTATTAGAATTATAGCAAAAGGCCTATTAAGTAGTAAATTATTATTAAGCTATCCTTTAACTTATATATTATCCGAGAATTAATACTTTCCTATAATTCCAGACTTATAGATTACTTAGCTAAAGGCATTTATTTGTTTAGTTATATAGACTATACTCGAAGTCTTTTCTTTTACTACCTTTAATAAATACTCGCTTAATTTCTTAGCTATTTCTAGCTTAAATTTATCGGAAATAGAGAAGTAATTAATATCTTTAAAAAACTTCTTGCCAAAAGTAGCGGCCTTTTTACGGTCCGTAAGGAAAATATAGCCAATATTTTAATACTTTTTACTAAAGTAGAATTCGCTACTTAAAGCTTTAGTAATAGCCAGATCTTTAGTATTGCCTTTATACTAATTGCAATTAACGTTTCCAGAAGTAAAGTATTGGGCTAGCTAAAGGTAAGTAACTAGGTAAATAGAATACTTATTTAATACCTTATAGAATCCGAGCTATATTAATAGATCTGCTATTAAAAGTTGAGAGGCTAAGGTAAAGTAGCTATTACCTAGATCTCTATATATTAATATATTGTCTTTTCGAAGATAGAACTATAGTATCTCTATCTCTACTATTAAGAGTTCTCGAATACTAAGCTTCTTAATTCACTTCAGGTAATTCTTCTTATAAATATAGCTATTTATATCCAGATTAGTAGTACTAGACTTAGAAACAGAAACTATAGTATCGAATTAGAGCTATAAATTTAGGCGGAATTAATTAGAAATATAGCGCTTATATCTATACTACTTAATTTCCTATATTTTAAAGAAGAAATCCCGTATCTCTTTATCTATTTAAGTAACGGAAATATACTTCTTGCCTTTAGTAACTTTATAGATTTTAGTAACTAGCTTTAGAGCGTTCTTAATATCTTATATATTAATAAAGAGAGTATTAGCAAGTTACTAAATATATCCTATATAGGGAACTTTAAAGAATCCATTATTAATCCTATAGTATTCTCGCTTATAGATAGGTTCCAAAATGCCGCTATATACTTCCTTAAAGATATATTTATTCTACCGAGCAAGTATTAATTTCTATTTAGCTAGTATTTTACAGGTATACTTAATACTACTATTAAGTTCTCCGGATTTAATATCCTTAGTCTTCCGCTTCTTGGTTCTAGGTGTAGTTAAGGGAGTCTTTCTAGATAGTATCTTTTCCTTTGAAATAGAGGGTTCCTTTTTACTTTCCTTTATTTCACTAACCTTATACTTAGTCTAGTGCTTAGATCTCCGCTATCTATTAGAAGTCTTAGGCTTAGCTTACTCTCTATTCTTGCCAGGTTTTTCTTATCCAGTTATACTAGTTCCACTAGTCTTACTAGTTCCACTAGTCTCACTAGTTCCACTAGCTTTCTTACTAGGCTTTATTAAATTAGCTTTATTTTTCTTAGCTAGATCCGGTTAAGCTAAAGCTGAAATTATAATAGGGGCCTATTCTTTAGGCTTATCTCGGAAAGCAGGAAAAGGCTCGTTATTATAAGCTCCCTTAATTAGAATTCCGGAAGTATTAAAGATATACTATCTAGCTTTAAGATTATTAGCTAATAGTGGCTTAAACTCTAATTCTCTAGGTTCCGAAATAGTTTCTATATACTTGAGTGCCTTAGTAATATCTAATTTAGTAAATATACTAGTATTCTAATACTTCTTATTCTTAATACGCTTTAAAGTAGCTTTATTAATTAACTAAATAGCTTTATATACTAAAGCTTTTATTTTAAAGAGAAAGTATAACTTCTTATAGACGTTTTTGCTAAGATTATTATAGATATTATTAATATATTAGCTAAAAGCTTTACTATATAATATAATTCTATTTTAACTCTTGGTTTCCAGACTATTTACTATAGTTTTAATCTTATTAAGCTTCTCTTATCTGCCTTTAGAAATGCCTTTAATAATATTCTCGAATTCTCTATTATTGGCTTAGTAGTTCTTTAGCTCTTCCTTAGTTAATTCTAGTCTAGTTCCGTCTCTAATAAAGGTTTTCTATTTCAAGAGCTTATTATATATACTACTTAGCTTATCTAGAATATTTATATTAAATTCGGTAATTATAGCTATCTTTTCTGGTATTAGCAGGCCTTTTATAACTGCCTAAGCTTCTTTAATACTCTGAACTTTAATACTATTAATCTATAGGCTTTTAATAATATTACGGCTTA